TTTACTTCTTACACATTGTGATATCACACTGTAGTAGACATTTTCACCTGACCATCTCTACCACAACACATCAACAGCTACTTACCATTTCCATTGCCTGCCCAGCAGTTAGGTGACAAGGAGAATGATGCAATAACAAACAATTCTGAGGGTGGAAAATTATTTGCAAATGCAAAATTTACTAACATTATGACTGAACCTCAATGAACATATTAAAACAATAAAAAGGTATGTAATAACCCTTTTAAATTCTAAAGCACATGAGTCTCTTTCCCTTGTCTTTTTAGGCAACTCTAAACAGGGACTGCGCTGTAGAACATGTAAGATGGGAGCTCATCTTTGGTGTGTCTCTGAATTCACAGAGAAACCATGCCAAGGAAAGGTACGTTTGACTTGTGCTAGTTCATATCTGCAGTAAAGTTTCCCTTTTCTACTGCGCTATTGTCAGTTGTGTGGTACTACAAATAACTAGCAAATAAATAAATAGAATTTGCTTGGTTGGTCCTGGCTTGTGACAGAGAACCCAGGGAGCACAGAGATGGCACTGCTCGCCGGCCATGACAGGGTGAGCAGATGGCTAAGACGACTCCAGGGCCATGACCACTGAACTCCATAGAATGAAATCTGGCTGGCATAGCTCACAGTAGTGTGACAGTCTTCCTTATGGATTTGTCTAGCCCCAGCCAAAACATAAGTTTGAGCTCGTTCAGTCCAGTTGCAATAGTGGCCTTCAAAATTTAACACAGCAATCAATGATGGGCCTAAATCCCCGATGGAAGCTCCTGATTAAGTGCCATAATTCAAAGTTCCAGAATTGTTCATAAAAAGTATGAGCTACAGTAGGACAGAGATTAAAGTAAGACACCATGAGACAATAGTAGGAGTTTCAGTTTTATAAGTCGGTGCATTATTAGTTTTGTGCATTCACAGTCAGGCATTCATGGGAGACATGTTACTTGAAGATTGTGAGGGACTCAGTTCAGGGATGGATTTGTTGACATAGACTCAGTGACAAGGGAGAGTAGTATCAAAACAGTAATTTTATTTAAGATAAAAACAACAGTACAAGAAACAGAAACCCAGGAAACAATGAAGAAAACTGAGTAAACCAATAAAACCATCCCAAACACAGGAAACAGCAGGGATTATATATACTTATATACAGGCAAATCTTTATATCAGCCCATCCTGGTAAATCTATCAGTAATTGTGCACATATTTAATAATATTCAAATATTATTAGTAATAATATCATTAACTAATGAGATATTTAATAGCTGAAAATGTAAAACAGAGATTAATTCTTTCTCTTTTGTGTATTTCTCTTTCTTTCTTCGAGTCTGGCATGTTCAAGAGGAACTTAAGCACACCTGTACTGACCAATGGTCAGTTATATGCTGTGAAGACACAGGGTATGTGTGTATGAGTGAAAACCTTATTTAATGTGTAAAATAATGAAATAGCATGATTATTAATGCAATGATCAGTTGTGTTTATTATCAATTCTACTTAGCATCAAGGGTTAGATTGGGATTTAGGTGGAGGTGTGGGAGATGTTATTTGCAGCTCTTACAAAAAAAGATTTATTCAAATGTGTTGTTAGTATACTTCTTTAAGCTAAAATTAAGGGAGAATGTTTTAGTCTACTTTCATGTGCTTCAGAGATATATCAGAGATATATAAGTAACAAAGTTGTATTTAAATGGCTATATTATACTTGGCTTATACTGACAAGTATACAAAAAAGTCTAAGTGTTTTTGGGGCAGGTACTTATAAGTTATCTGTTTCCAGTTATTTTAGCTGTACAAAAAAAGTCCATCTTGCTGCTGGTATTTGTTTTAATATTATTTTTTATATATTATTGTAATCATAATTACACTGGTTTGAAGCTCGAATGTTTTTTCCATTTACCACACTTTGTTATTCTTATAGTTATTTACCTATGGTGACTAATAAATTGAAAATCTTACAGAAAATAGCTTCTGCGTTGCAAAATAAGGTGGGTACTTAATATTTTAATTGGGATATACTAAAGGAAAATATTATTAAGTATTCTATTCTTTTTTGATAGAGTAGCCAGTTAAATTACGCTTTTTAACACATCTTAGTATGCTTTACATTATGAATTATACATCAGATTTGGCGTGTAGTGAATACAGGCGTTGGACAAAATAATTTCAACACTATATTATAGGGATTAATATCATTTGTGAAAGCTACAGTGTGTCAGTCCTGTGTCTTGTGTTTTGCTCCCCATGTGCTCTATGTCCTAGTTTTCCCTGCCTTTATGCCCTTATTTGGTCTTCCTGTTCCTGTTCCCTGATTGTGTTTTATTGTTTCCAATTTGATTCCAGGTGTGTCTCGTCTTCCCCTGATTAAGTTGTATATAAAGTGTGTTCTGCCCATTGTTTCCTGTCCGGTATTGAATGTCGTCTTTCCCCGCTACGTATGATTTCCTGGTTCCTTGGATATTATTAAAGTCTGTTTGTTAAGTTTTCTCCACATCTCCTCGTTCCTCGCTCCGTGCTCCTCACAGTAGCGGAGCGTGACACAGTGAAAAAACTAATATTGCGATTACTGTATCTTTTATTTATCTTTTTCTGAAGGTTTTATATTAGTGTATAAAAGTTATGTCCTGCAGTGTTAAGTACAGTAATGAGTGACTCCCAAAAGGGCAAATCATGGGAGCATTTAACCTTAACAGACCAATTGTTTGGTGTTTTAAGAACAACAGTTTTTTACGATACCATTGCACTGACATGCTATTGTGACTGAGCCATCATTTCTTGTGCAGAATTGCTTTTGCCATAATGTCTCGTCACAGACACTAAGAAGGACTGTGTCCAAACAACACAGAACTACTGAAGCAAAGTTACGGCATCCATAAAAGAACTGCAATTGCTAAAACTTTACTCACAAACATCCAATGACAAAATGTGAAAATTATGGTGTCGTGATCATAAAGCCTTAACAATTGAAACACCAAGATGAACTTCAACATCTGTCCTGGCCAATCAAATCATCTGACTTGAATATTATCAAACCACTGTGGGCAGGTTTAGAGAGAAGAGTAAGTTGGCAGTTTCCTCTTTCAACATCTGTGAAGCAATTTGCAGATGTTCGGATAGAAGATATTCCATTGGAGACTATTCAAACGTTGTATAAATCTATTCTAAGATTAGTAAAGCTGTATAAAAAGGATAGTTCACCCAAAAATGAAAATTCTGCCATTTACTTACCGTCAAGTTGTTCCAAACATATATGAGTTTCTTTCTTCTGTTAATCACAAAAGAAGATGTTTTGGTAACCAGGCATGTGACAGTAGCCATTGACTTTCATAGTATTCTTTCTTATTTTTCCATAATATGTAAGTCAATGGTTACCGTCGACTGTTTGGACAGGCAAATGGTGGTGAAACAGCTTTTAATAATATTAATAATGAAATATTGCCTGTTTTCCAGGTTTTCACATTATTTTGTCCAACCCCCTTAGTACAGTGGAACTGAACATAATCTTTTGTACACAGCACTTCTAACACACACAGAAGCAGATCATTTTATTGACATTTCTTCTTCTCACATTATGTGAGTACTGTAACATATTTCATTCACGCTGGCTTCTATTATAAGCCATTACCAGAATAAATCATTTTAAATCTCAATACAAAGCATTAAGTCAAAAAGCAAAAGGAGCAAGTCTCTTTATGCAATACATAAAACAATGTCATAAATCATATATACATAGTGCATACCACTGCAAATCTACTTCATGTACAGTACAGTGAGATGTATTTCAAGTATAAAAAAATGAATACCTATAGGTACCTTACTCTATAGTAAATATGAGCATAGTATTCTGCACATAGTAAGTGGAGAAATAATATACATTGTAAACTATAAATATAATAAGTTCACTTAACTGACAAGTATAATTGCAATATAAATAATCTTTCTTCTGTTAATCACAAAAGAAGATGTTTTGGTAACCAGGCATGTGACAGTAGCCATTGACTTTCATAGTATTCTTTCTTATTTTTCCATAATATGTAAGTCAATGGTTACCGTCGACTGTTTGGACAGGCAAATGGTGGTGAAACAGCTTTTAATAATATTAATAATGAAATATTGCCTGTTTTCCAGGTTTTCACATTATTTTGTCCAACCCCCTTAGTACAGTGGAACTGAACATAATCTTTTGTACACAGCACTTCTAACACACACAGAAGCAGATCATTTTATTGACATTTCTTCTTCTCACATTATGTGAGTACTGTAACATATTTCATTCACGCTGGCTTCTATTATAAGCCATTACCAGAATAAATCATTTTAAATCTCAATACAAAGCATTAAGTCAAAAAGCAAAAGGAGCAAGTCTCTTTATGCAATACATAAAACAATGTTATAAATCATATAAACAAGTATAAAAAAATTAATACCTATAGGTACCTTACTCTATAGTAAATATGAGCCTAGTATTCTGCACATAGTAAGTGGAGAAATAATATACATTGTAAACTATAAATATAATAAGTTCACTTAACTGACAAGTATAATTGCAATATAAAAACTATGAAATTACTTTACTGAGAGTATACTTCACAGTATACTTCAAAAACTAAAAAGCGGGCTAGAAGTATAAATAGTACTCATTCATTATACCTGTAAGTTTACTTGTAGCATATTTCACAGTATAGTTACCATACACAAAAAGTTAGATGCCAAGTTGTGTACTTAAAGTTTACAACTTTTACACTTAGGGCCAGATTTACTAAACAGGGCGAATTAGCATGAGAGCGCAATCCTATGAAAGCGCTGATGGGAGTGGAAGGTTCTGTGTGTGATCTACTGACATTGCGCACATTATCTTTAACACAGATGCAGCCGGATCATTTCCATAATGACCAGCGCAATCTACCAACAGCAGCTCAACTTAGCATCTGGTTTAAGACATGCTATTTTTAGGCGTTAAATAACCTCAATAAATTGCATTGCATAATTTATTTAAATACTCCCCAACCCCCACAGTGCCCGTAAATTTTGCGTCTAAAAGGAAAACTCTTACAAATGCATAAGCAAATAGGGTCCCAAAAATAACTGTCCACACCTTTTCAATAATTTTCACTACTAAAAGCACTAGTTGATTTTAGCATACTTACTGCATGAAGTATACTTTGGAAGATGTACTTGAACTTACAGTGGTGGCCAAAATTGTTAGAATTTTTTTGCCTTCCAAACGATTTCATTTCAAAACATTCATGAAACCTGTGGATGGCTGCTCTAAGCACAACAAATATCAGATGAAGTGAGTCATATTGCTTTTATCCGCTTTTAACTTTAATATTTGGTATGTCCACCTTTTGCAGCAACTGCAGCAGCACACCTCTCTGGCATAGTGTCAATATATTTCCTGAGAACTTCAACACTAATGTTATCCCATGGCTTCTGCAACTCAAGCCAAAGGCTTTCCTTTGAATGTACAACAGATCTGTCCAGTTTATTTTCTAACTCGCCCCAAATTTGCTCGATGGGGTTGAGGTCCGGACTTTGAGGTGGCCAGTCCATTATTTTCAATGTTCCAGCAGATTCCTTCCATCGCAGGAAGTTCCAGCAATAGTTCGTTTTAAGGGCATTGTAATGGCCAATTCAGCAAAAACAACTGAAACTTCTTAAATATGCCAAATGTTCTAACAATTTTGCCCACCACTGTAAACTTAAAGTAAAAAATGTTTAAGCGAGTATGTGTACAGAGCAAATTTTTTGGGCATATGTGTTTGTGATATGATAGAGTCAAAAGCTCAGCTGGACCCTGTGTATGCTACACTCCGCATTGGAACTTCTCTGGCCAACACCAGCCGATCTAGCTTTGGGAGCTTCTGTGAATCTCCGAGCCAAAGCCTGGTGTGTACCATATATACCACAAGCAGGTTTAGGTTTCATAGATGTTGTGACTGGTTGAACATTTAGATTTAATAAAAGTGTATTGAACATAAACCTAGAAGTAATAACTGTTTTTTGATGACTAAATGTAAATTATGTTTTACAAGCATTTTTTTAGCCCCTAAACTTGCAAATTGCGTTCTAATTATTACTGTATTTTCTTTATTGTTGTTTAAAAGTGCATTTGTTAAAAATAGATCAGTTACTGAATGGAAGCTTATATTTTTAACATTTACTTCTTCATTAAACATTTTTGTTTGAAACTCTTTATGTGCCTTTGAGGATGAAGAGGATGGTCAGCAGAAGGATGAGTATGTGTCCACTGAGGGGGAGAAACTGACTGAAAACCAGAGGACGGGTAAAATAATCAAAGTTAATGTGTATGCATGGAGAGATATACAGTACATTGCAAAGTTACAGATCAGTGGTTCTCAACTGGTTCTGCTTTAGAACAGAGATTTTAAACTGAACATCAACTGATGTCTCAATATTAAGTGCTGTATCAAGAGTGGTATTTCTTGTATACAGCAGTGCTATAAAGAAATTGGTTGCACTTTATTTTACAGTATGTGCACTTACATGTACTTACAGTGTACCAACCTAAGAAAGTACTGGTAATATTATGTACGGTAACTTAAATTAGGTTTAGGGGTAGTTTCAAGGTTAGTACCTAGTTATTACCTAGTTATTGTAATTACTATAATAAGTATATAGTTTGTACATGAGTAAAAGGACTGTCAAATAAAGTGCTACCAAAAAAAAAAAAAATGACGTGACATGTGGCCAGGTATGGTGACCCATACTCAGAATTAGTGCTCTGCATTTAACCCATCCAAAGTGCACACACACAGCAGTGAACACACACACACCGTGAACACACACCCGGAGCAGTGGGCAGCCATTTTTGCTGCAGCGCCCGGGGAGCAGTTGGGGGTTCAGTGCCTTGCTCAAGGGCACCTCAGTCGTGGTATTGAAGGTGGGAGAGAGAGCTGTACATTCACTCC